TGCCATCTCCGCCATCTTCCTGCCATCTTTCTGCCATCTTCCTGTCATCTCTGCCATCTTCCTGTCATCTTCCGGCCATCTCTGCCATCTTCCTGCCATCTTCCTGCCATCTTCCTGCCATCTTCCTGCCATCTTCCTGTCATCTTCCGGCCATACTCAACTTCCCTTTTTGCCTACGATGGCACGGGAGTCAAAGAAGCGCTGCCCTCGCAAACCGCTTACCTGTGAAGATGCATGGAGAAAAATTGCAGATGTCGGACTTACTATTATCAAGACTAAGTCCCTACGGAATGGAAAAGACGAGCGTGTTGTCGCCCTTACCATAAAGTCATTACATGAAAAACCAACGTCCAAGAATGAGCGAAGGTTCCACGATTTTCTAGTTGCTGTGCGCAGTCGATGTAGCCAGCATGATGCCACCGCCATATTTATAGTCAGTGTCGCAATCGGCAAGGATAAAATGATTGGTATGAATAATTCTCACCGCGATGCGCTGCTTGATCGACTAGAACATGAACAGAGCGGACCAATTCTGAGTTCCCCTACCTTGAGAGAAATCGCCAAGGCTTGCGGTATACCGACAGTTAGAAATAATGGACAGCAGCCACTTTTACTCATACGTAGCAGACCAGATTCTCATGGTACGACATACGAACACGCTGTCTTAGAAGGGATCACTGCGGTTTTCAGCGAAGATCTGTGCAACATTATCTCTAAGGTACCAACTCCAGTTGAAGGGGAAACCAGTTGGAGGGCGGCCGTGACCACAGCCTTTCCACTTTACGGTGATGTCAATTGTCTGATGAGTCTGGATATATGTTCGTCGGGAATTGACTATCTTGCTCTGGAATTATTCAACGCCAAAATCAATACAACCAGTTCTCTTCGGTATATTGTCATCGATGACGGACCTACGCTAATTGTGCCGGTTTCTGAGTCAACTATTAAAGGTGTTAAGGAGGAGGCTATTGCTAAGGTCTTTGGTGTTGAGATACATAAGGCGATTAGAGATAGTCGCGTGCGCAGAATGGAACTTGAGCAGGGAAAGGAGCTTACAGAGTGTGTCTCAATGATTATGATGGAACGAGGGGCAATTGTGAATTTATCTCTAGATCTAGACTGCGGTATTGAACTCAGCCGCAAGTTATATACCTAGTGCTTTATAACTCTTCCTTGATTTTGCCCAGAGTAATGTATAGCTTCTCACCGCTTCTTATTACCATTTGGCCATCAGGTACATCTGGAAAAGGTGTAATGTGTTCTTTCCCATCATTGTCAATCTCATAAAGAGTGACATTGGACCCTTTCCAGAAAACCATTTGGTTCTTGCCAGCGACCATCGTAACACGGTTGTCAGGGACGTTGCTGAAGTCCACAGAGCTATCAAGAGGGAGTATCCTTGAAGCCTGATATGATGTTAGATATAATGTAAGCTTCGTGGAGGTAGCCTACCATAAAGAATCTCTGATGTAGAGTATCGAACGGGAAGACACAGGTTGTCTCTAATCTTAAGCACGTTCTGTACCTTCCTATATTTAGCAACGAAATAGTGCTTGCAATAACCTGACTCACAGCACTATGAATTTATACAACCAAGAGCTTCATCATATAGTGTGGATATAAATGTGTCGAGTCATCGTTATCTTGTGGTGGGTGTTGAGTCTAAACCACTTATAAAGAGGAAAACATGTGTCATAATATGTCACGTGATATATTGCACAACTGAAGATGCCCCTTGCCCCACTTCGGGTATCAATGATGAGGAGTGCAACATACGTATCGCATGGGCATTAATGTAACATGTCGGAAGATTAGAAGACTGATATTATGGCGGAAGGTTGCGGGCTGGTTGCAGTTGTTACTTTGTTTCTAAGGCAAACATGTACTAGTAGAGTTGTTCCGCATTGCATCACACAGATGAGTTTATAACTTGGGAGGCGCTACCGCGACACCAGCCTCCGCTCATGCCACATGCTTCTGCCTACCTTGGTAGGTAAGGTTCACTCCCTATAAGATAAGGCCCACTTCTTATAGCCAGTGTAATATTACTGCTTTCCTAATATAGAGTTATTCTTGCTTGAGACACCAGTTGTACTGCCTGAGATAATAAACTACTGCCTCAAAACGGGTAGGCGGTATTATTGTGCTGGCTCAGAAAAGCAAGCCTTACCTTATAGGGAGCGAGCCTTACCTATTAAGGTAGGCGGAAGGATGTGGCGTAAGCGGAGGCTGGTGTGGAGGCAGCCTGGCCGGTGTCGCGGTAGCGTCCCCCTACAATTTGAGTAAGTGGTACGGGATAATGTACACTTCCTCTCCTTGAAGGGTGGTGCTATGATACTAAGTAGGGACGGGAGTGGGAGTAGACTAATTTTGCTGCCAAAGAAGGCATGCGATGAACCACCTACTTGGCCGTGAGCCAACTATGTATTTAGCATGAACACTAGTTAATGGTAACGTACGGCTCATCCAATGAGATAACTTGATTATAGGATAACCACTTGATTAATAACTGCAATCTCTCTTGAACCTTCTGCACCTGCCTTATCCTCTTCGTAATCTGCAAACGTATCCAGTATTTCTGCGACGTGCCGATTTATGGTAAGCCTTTGCTCAGAATATTATCCGTTTTCTGCCTGGTTAATACTGCAATCTCTCTTGTACTTTCTGCGCTGTTGCCTAATCCTGCCCTGTCCTCTTCGTAATCGGCAAACGTATTCAGTATTTTTGCGACGTAACGATTTATAGTAGGCCTTTGCTCAAAGTATTATCTGTAGTCGCTTAGAAAAAACATACTGCAATTACTTCTCTCGCTTTATCCGCAGAATTGAGATTGAGGGAGAAAACCTGACCGTTGAACTTCCCAAAGTCTTCACATTGCTTCCACCCGACGACTACCTTCCATTTCCCATCCTTTCCACTCATATATTGTTCATCTTTGGCGTCCTAGAGTGAATAAACCAATCAAAGACAAAATTTTATTGTCATTATGGCGGATAATAATGAGATATGGATTAGCTGCCAAGCTGGAAGTGGTGAGTGCTCCACTACGAAGAACTGGATGTTCCTTTCCTGACTCGAGAAAGTCGCTCCAGTGTCCCTCTTCGCCCACTCTCACGTGCTGTCCGCCCTTCCGACATTCATGAATCTGCCCCGCACACGACTGGCGGGGTCAACGATACAGCAACCAGCGAGCAATATGAGTTCATCAGTCGTCAGCTTCCTTTTTCGCGATGGCTCAGTTGATTCTGTTTCTGTCCGCGACAAGGGACAAGTTATCGATACGCGAAGAAAGTTCATGGTGGACGGCTGGATTGTGATGCAAAATCAAACTTTCCTCGATGCCACAATAGAGCAGAGGCAAATCGAGCATAATGATGTCTGTATAGAATACCAAGAGTTTATAGAGCTTCTGGGCTAATTGTTCAGGCCGTTAAGCAGTTTCTCCGGGTGGACGAAGGCACATATCTTCCGGGCCGTTTTCGAAAGCGCGAAATGAATAAAAGCAACAGCCTCTTCGTGCCATCCAGCGGTTTGCCCGATCTTAAACTCATCAACGTGTTTCACCTCGGTGGTCAAAGCAATTCTACTTGGATATTCGAATATTTCACTCCAAACGAACACTTACGGAAAAGCGTTTTGCTAAGCGGAACCGATATGTAAGTCATTCTGACATTCTACTCACGAAGTCTCTAACGATGGCGGAAAACAGCATCTGTGTTGCGGGATGGATGAAGGACTGGAGAATACCTTACATTCAAGGACAGGCCGGAATTTTGGCCGAGATAGTATATTTGCAACAACGACCGTTTGATTGACTAGGGATGTATAGTACTTCCGCTCAAGAAACATGGAGACATCAGACGGATCCGTTACAAGCCGGTGAATACGGTAGTAACCAGGAGTCTATATCCCCATAATACCCTAAATCGTATTGCAAATGTCCGTCACCGCTGATAGAATATTGCTCATCAAAACGTCTCCCTTCTACCGCTTCCCCCGGCTCTAAAGTTGTCCGTTTTGTGTCAGCTGCTTCCCCCACAAATTCATAAACTTTTGGCTCTTCCTCATCGCCTGCCAGGGTTCTCAGGAAAGACTTCTGCGCTGGAACGATAAATTAGCATCTATTCGCCAGTCTTGTCAATGCACGGTCACTCCCACCTTCTCTTGAGTTCAGTTGTTCAAATCCTGGCCAGATAAAGTCTGCTCTGGACAGATACGCTGCCTTGTGAATCGATCTCTCATGGTAGACAAGTTGCCTTGGGGAGTCGAATTCATTGTCGCAAGAATTGCAAGATCTGGCTTCAATGATCCGCCGCAGATACTGATGGGCTAGCGAGATATGAGAGTTCAGGGAAGATATTCTTGAGTATGATCGGCCGCAGACGACGCAAGTAGGTTTTGTGCTAGCTGATGTTGAAACTCCTGGTGTGTAATGAATTCCAACTATGTGTTCAATCTGGCTGAGAAGAACTGTAAGCTGGAGAAAGGCGTCCGGTTTCAGATCCTTGCATTGCTCCGTAAATTTGGCCTGAATACGGTCTAGGCGACAAGGCAATGCTTCTGCAAGTAGAAGAGGAAGTCGAGTTTGTTTGACCATTTTCAAGGAAAAGTGAACAGCTTGACGAGGGCAGAAAAAGGAGTAGGTTTCCTTGACGCAGGTCGGAGGAGAGGACACCTCGACGGCCCCTATTTCAATCGGGTGCTGGATGTGCCGTAAAGCAGGAAGGACAGTGCACTATGGGTAGCCTCTCGCCTGATAGGATAGAGGGTGTGACCTGTTTGAACACCCAACCATATCCACCAGTAAGATGCAGCCACTGCCGAGGTCGGTGTCCTCCCAGTCCAGATCAAGGCCTGGATCTTCAAATCTGCTGTCTCCCTGTATTTTTCTGCAATCTCCGCCTTTTTACTGTGTTGTCCCCTATAGAACTTTCTGCAATCCCTTTGCTACTTATTGCGGCGCCGGCATCAAGTATTCCATATAAACGTACCACAATTCCTGCTAGAATGCTCGTCTACTACCTCAGTTCGAATCTTCTGCTAGATTTCTTTTCACCATGATCTTTCTATTACCTTGCGAGCGATCTTCGTTGAGCGTTGCCACAACTGCCTATGATGTAGAACTCGAACCTGTTTTGCTTACGGGCGAAAAACCATCTAGCCAGCCGCCACAATTTCATTCGCAGTTGATTGGATTCCGCTTTGAGTCATCCGGTACAAACGTACCCAAGATACCAGAAGCACTGGACTCCATTCGTTGGAAGTGGCAACCGCGTTCGTCATGGGATTCCGATGCCAACACAATTGCGCAGCAACTGATTGACGAGAGTGAAAGGTACTTTCCTCTTGTTCAATTCGAGGACTGGGTGCAAGAAGCAAGGGATCGCTCATCACCTATTGTCAAGGCGCTTGAGTCTAAGTATGATGGGCTAAGCGTGATTCTGTATTACTACCTCAGAAGGCACTTGAACGAGTTTGAGAAGTATCTAGGCTTGACAAATGTATCACCCTTCCGCTTCCTATCCATCCACTGCATATCCTGACGCCTCAAAGACTTTAGAGAAATTTACCGCAGACCCCTTTCTGTCCGGAGCGGTGTATCATGCGTGTGAATGCGTTTGTAATCGGCGATACACGGAATACAACATTGATGCTCGATTTATCACGGATCCGATAAAAGCAGTCCTCTCAAAAGACAACCCGATCGCCCTTATCCATTGCCAACTTGAAGCTCTGGCCGTACGCTTCCGAAATTTCTACAGAAGTCCAGAAGTTGTCTGTTCGCAAGACTTCAATACTCAAACTGCATTTCTTGACAAACTCTACCACACGGAGCTGGAGGAACTGGAGGCACTGGCAGCAGAGCTTACGGCAGCAGCTCTTTCCCTCTTTCAGGAGCTCACCGTCGAAATGGTGAAGAAGGGTAGCGGCGACCCTTTGACAGCTCTGAATAGGTGGTGGAACAGTATTTGCCGAGCAGCAGAGGAATGCTCAGCTACTGAACCGGCTTTGTATCTAAAGTTGGATCAATTGGCGCTGGTAATTATCTCCTTCCCTTGCCTTGGTTCATACTAAACCGACCGCAGAAATTTTATCGCCTGCGCGATTTTTACTCGTTCACTGGGCTCCTTCAGGGCATACGTTTAAGCGGAAGGCGCCCAGAAGTGCTGCGAACACTTGGCCATTTGATAGATTCAGGGGAAAACTATCGGCTGTATAGGCAGAATATCGATTCAGACGCTGCACTTCACTTTCTTCTGCCCTTCGTGAAGCTTCAGTCCCAAGAGTCTACGGCTACGTTACAAATCGTGTCCGCTGCTCAGAAATATGCTCTGCGAAATACGTCGAACAAAGCTTCACAACGTCTTCTCTCATTCTTGATTCCTCTATGTTTCTGTGTCTAGCTTAACCCCTTTCCATCACCCCTGGCGATGTTTTACTGAATCTTTCGACACTCTCCGCTGAAGCGAGAGCCCTGGTGTGTACACAGTTTGAAACAAGTAGTACTGCTTTATGTAACGTATCTTGTCCAGTCTTCCGTTCATCGTATATCTTCCCCCCTCCCTCCTCCGAAATCCACTGTTGGGATGGCAAAGCAATAATTTCAGTTGGATTTGGTTGATACAAGCTAGCGGTCGTTATCTCGCCGCAAGTCTGCCAATAACGCTCAAATGTGGTAGACGTTGCAGTGTCGGGTGTCCTGCCGTGACCCACCCCGAGCATTCTAACCATATCATAGCCGAGGCCCCAGCACTGCTGGAGCTTGACGACACCAAACGCGCCGAACTACCGGCCTAATTCTTGGAAGCCTTTCTGAATAGCGTGATTACACTAGCTAAGAAAATTCGGGGAGCAACCGTCGGCACAGAAGATCCGGGGCAAACTAAACAGCTTGCGGCCGATCGCAGAGGACATCACCCGCATCACAAACGCAGTCAACAATATTACTCTCATCTGATCTCAGAGTGAAGCGACGGATGCTTGTCTTTTGGATGGTACCTGGGAAGGGACGAAAATTCTTCGAATGATGACAAAGTTAAGGAGCTACCACAAGGCACAGGGTCACGTGCCAACAGTAGTTGCCGAACTCAAGATGTGGGCTACAGTTGGAGTCGTTACTGCTGTCATCCCCTTATACTCTTCGATTGTTTTTCGAACCCTAATGCCAAGCACGCTAGTCTATTATAGGAAAGGATCCGGATTAATGTGTTTTCATAACGCGGTACTGTATGGTACTTCTGTATTATATCACCGAAGCTCATGTATCTTACATGTATATATTATACAGACACAACCTTGGTTATGTACATCAAACTCAAACTCACTGTCCAATGCCAGATTGAATAGCAGTACCATCATATACTCTCCACCCTTCACGAGCTACTACAGATCTTGCTACCTGCCAACTTCTCAGTCGGATACAATACCCTAGGTAGCCCACCTGCCATAGGAACAGGCACATTTCCATCCGAACCAACCGTCACGGTCGTGCAGCCAATGACCTCCGTCAATTGCTGGCCGGCTGTGTAACCCGCACCACTCAAGGAGAGGGTATACGAATCACCCGAAGCACCCTTGTTGGACAAGATAGTCACGATCTGCGACCCATCTGTGCCCTTGCGCATGGCGATCGTTGTGTCGTCTTTGTAGATGGGCCAGTTCTGTATTGCCAGTGATTAGTCTCTTGTGTCAGATACTCTGAAGATAGGCCATTAGGGTATGCTTAGAGGTTGTGCTTACCTTGTAGGTCACGAATCCTGTATCTTTGCTAATGGCATAGTTCCGGATTGCGTTCGCGGAGGCAATTAACTTGTACAGCTCGCTGTCGGTCGGGTAGCCCGAGAGCCAGGTTGCTTCGCGGTTCGCGGGGTCGTTTCCGCCGGCGTAGTGCTGTTCTTGGCCGGCGTAGATGATGGGGATTCCGTCGTTGAGGATGATGAATGCTGCGACGTTCTTGGCGAGGGCTATGTCGTTGGTGTAACTTTGCTCTTGTTAGGTGGGGTTCTGTGTGGAAATTGGGAACGGAAAATAAAAGGGAAGACTTACGAAGCGAACCGTGGGTTGTCGTGGTTCTCGACGAATGTGCCCAGGAGTGTTGAGTCTGGACAGTCGGATTTGACGGTGTTGATCATGTTGTAGAGGTCGTCCATGCTGCCGGAGGTTGACTTGAAGGCGTTGAGGAGTGGATAGTAACTGGTTTTAGCCGTTTCGTTAGGAGATGAGACTTGCAAGAAGGCTCATGGTTGGAGGAACCATACATGGGATAGTTCAGTACGCCGTCCATGACGTTCTGGTAGGGACAAGTGTAGGCCGGATCACCGTCGAGCACCTCGCCGATACAGTACACGCCTGCGGCTTTGTTGTACCCGGGCCAGAAGTCCTTCTGGACGTGTTTTACTGTGTCGATACGGAGGCCGTCAACTGATTTCGTAAGTATCATCGATCAGCCAAGTTGTAGAATGAGGGAGAAATATCTTACTGGAGTAGTTCGATACCAATGATCCCACCCAGTCGTACCATTCATTCTTGACCACATCCTTGGTGGTATCGAGATCAGGCAAGGAGACAGTGTTATCTCCTAGCCAGCAATCCTCAACCTGAGTCTGATCTTCATAGTTTTGAATGAAACAGAACGGGTGGAAGTAGTCTTGGGAACTGAACGGTTTAAACACACTGTAATCGACTGAGCTACCCGCTCCATCATAGCCCTGATATTACTCATTGTCAGTACTGAAATGAACCATATCCGCGAAGTCAGTTGCAAAGGACCACGAACCATATGGTTAGCAACCACATCGACCATAAGATACATCCCCCTCTCATGAAGGGCCGAAGAGAGCGCCTTCAAGTCATCTGCAGTGCCGTAGTTTTCGTTCAGAGAGTATCTAAAACCATCAAGTTAGTTCATATTGATGTAAAAGATGACAGGTAGATATTTAAAGAAATCGACTTACATATCCTGCTGCCAGTAGCCATGGTAGGCATCTCCATATGCGGTGGTCTGGGGCAGCTGGGCTGTAACGGGGGTGATCCAGATGGCTGTGAAGCCCATTCCCTGGATATAGTCCAACTATGTGATGGTTAGGACTAGAGTTCTTTTTATTTTATTTTTCTTCTGCTTTTCCTTCTTTTTTTTTTGATAAAGGGGCAATTTACCTTGTCGATGATGCCCTGCCATGTTCCACCACAGTATTTCTATATCAAGTCAGTTTACATTCCTCTTTCTGAAAGCTAGTAGGTAACAACACACCTGATCCGCAGTATTACAAGTCGCAGTCGTCGACCCATCCGTCCTTGCAAATCGATCCGTGAGAAGGAAATAAATGGATTGCGATCGCCAGTCCGCAGGCGTTGCAGCCAAAGCAGGTGCCGCGACCTGAAGGCCGTACAGAAATAGAGACCACCACGCGACCATCATAAATGCCTTCTGTGGGGTTTATTGTTCAGAGAAGGGAGAGCTTGATGTGATGTTGTCGGTTGCTATCCTCCAAGCATGGCATCCCTTGCTAGTATTTATATGTTGTGATACATCGCATCGACAAGGGACATACTTTAAGCTCTACGGCCAGGGGCGGGGAATCCAAGCGATTCGCAGAAGAGTTTAAATTGCATTCTGCAGGACAATACCGGGGACGACTGTGATTTGTGGTTGAGTGGAAATTAATCCCGATAAATTTCCGCCCCTAGTCACTCTGGAGGGTGTTGGTTGGATCGCTGCCCGTGATCAGCGTTGCAGAAAAGGCCGACGGGCCGACCTTTTTCTTGGGCTGTTTCGCTTTGCTGCTTCTAATTGGATGGTGCGTCCGATGCCTAGAGGTGGTCCTTCGCTCGTGATGTGGACGCTGGGGTTTCTCCGTGAAGGACTTGGGCTTGGATGCTGTTGACTCCGGGGTTTTAGTACTTTGGTCTTGCATCCCTTGACGATTTTTACGTAAATATCAGCCCTAACGTAATCGGTAAGCGAGTTGCCCGCGCAAGCGAGTTGCCCACCACCCGCCATATAAAAATTTAAAATGATCAAAACACCATGAATTCTGACTTCTATATAAAAATGAGTAGTTCTATCGATTCGGGTAGTGCGTAATTTTATGCCCCTGTACACCACAGCCAGAACATTTAGATGGAGCGCGCCTAGAAGCCGATTTACAGTTGGAGTCATTACTGCTGTCACCCCCCCCAATACTCTTTGATCGTATTTCGAACCCTAATGCCAAGTGCGCTAGTCTACATATGGAAGGTAACCGTAACATTAATATTCCGGAAATTTTGATCGTACTGTATTGAACAGTAAGGTTATAGAAATAGTGTATTGAGTTTGTATCAGTAATCTACGGTAGCTGGAAGCTTCTACACTGCAAACGCGTCAAACATGACAAAGCATGTGCCTTGCATCTCCCGCAAACTGTTAACATTCCTTTTGTTTGTACTGAGCCACGGTTCGATCCTTTTTGACCTTACCAGGTTAACCAAGACGGGTAGGGCTACAATACTGTACCTGTCTTAGTTCATTGTCCATGAACCTGATCATTTTACTGGTTTTGTTAGCTGCACCTCTTCCCTCACGGACACTCTTGCTGGGACACCCATATGGTGTAGGCTAACATATGATGATCCCAACACTAGGCTTCTCAGTGGCATCTACTGCCTTGAGGGGATGACGTTTAGTCCTTACTACGATGACGATGCCTCTCAGCTTCAGCCACCTGATCCGTGGATACAAACTCCATCGTATGCCCCCACCCCTGGTGACTTCGGTAGAGATCGTACGCCATCCGTATTTTGCCCATCACCTGAACATGTACTTGATGAACCTTATACTCCCTTGCATCAATCCCAGCCCAATCATCTGGGTTTCTTCCAGGAGCCCGAAGAAAGGACTACGAGGCAACATAGAGGAAAGCCTTGTATTCATTATACTATTGAGTGGAAGGTAACTCTGAACAACCGAACTGTGTCAAAGGACACTGAACAGGACTTGGCTGTAGCACCCAGTTCACACTGGGCGAAGATAACACAGGATGCTGAAAATGTTATGCGTCGAAAAATACGTCACAACCAACGTGTGAGATCAGATGATACTACAGTCAGAGTATCTGTAAACGAACGTGGACAATCTGATCTGAACAAACGTTTTGACGGCACTAATATTGATTGGAAACCTATAGAGAAACAGCTCTTAATGTGGGGAAATCTGTTTCATATTGGCAAGAAGCTCAAACTTTTTATATCCATAAACTATATAGAGGACAGTGGCCCTCCTCTTTCACGGAATACAGATAAGAGAGGAAAGTCATCAGTAACTAGGAGAATGCTTACAGAACGAGACGCCCAGATCGATGCTGAACAGGCTTCTGGACAACGTCCATATTGGCGGGAAGTGTATCAAACGATGCGTTGTCCTGGGCCACCCTGCCGCCATGAAGGGCAGTATTGCTGGCTGGACCCTGTTGGAAAGAAGCATTACAAACTTAGAACGCACCATCTGAGGAGACTTGTCAAATACGTTGAGGGTGGAGGCATCTTGGATACGCATGATGATATTCCTGACGATGTCCGTGAACAACTCTATGCAGAGGAGGCACTGCGGCTTGAAAAACAAAAGAACCCGAAGCATTCCGCAAGTGGATCAATTTGTCCACCAATCAATATCAATGTCCTCCCCGCGCAGTCATCGCAAAGCCTAACAGACAGATCTGTTACGGCTGAGCAGTCAAGCTCAAGTCCCAACTGTATTGACTCTGTTGATATTCCTGGGTTCTTAGATGATGCAGTGGAGGAATATGCCAATTGGCACTTGTCGCGTGTTGGCCGTGAGATTTATAGAGACCATATTAAAAAAGCACGTGATGTGGCGTTGGAAAATGGATTAGACCTTCAACAGGTTTCGAAGGAAGACCCAGACTTCTTCGTCAAGCAAGGGGTGATAATTGGTGTCGCACGCCGGTTCGTTAGCGACATTAGAGATTGGGCCAACCAATACAGACATGACTGAGACCAAAGCGCGTTGAATCGATCGTATTGTTCCATAGCTTAACCCGTCACTAGCCCAATTAACTACTGGAATATATATATATATTGTTACAGTCATCCAAGATTTATTATATAAACCGATAACGATACAGTCTTAAGTGGGACTAGCGGGTACATGAGCAACTAACTTTTTAACAGTTCTCGACTTGACAAGAACCCGACGATCTCCCAACCACGTGACCTGAGGCGCGTTGTAGAAACATCCTTGGTTGGCTTCCTCTGCACACCTCACACAATGGATTGGGCTTATCGATGATGCCTTCACATCCTTTGCATCGACACCAGTCATCTTTAGAAAAAGTCCTGAACTTCTCAAAACCTTTCTCATTACCACCCCACCAAAGTCAATCGGCAGCCAACCTTCTTCAGGTCTTAATTCAGTGTTATGGCCCCGAAAGGAGTGCACGAAAAGGTTACAAGCCAGCGGCACTTATTAAGGCCACATATGAGCATGTGGTAGCTAAGGATACATTTTTAACGTTCTTTTTCTCGTCGATATACGAAAATCTATGTTCACAGCCTGCTGATTTGATTGATTCTGATATTACGATTGTCTTGACGTTCTTCGATAACTTTACGTCTTGGAGTCCAGACGAGAAGAACAAAGCAAAGAGCGCGATCGAAGAATTCGCTGATTACATCATTGAGAATTTCCTCCTTCCGCGTATGTTGGCTATTGACCATTCTACTGTGAGAAGCACTATTTAACTTGGATGATCACAGTCCGAGCTTCATCTGTCAAGACTCCGCAACCGACGCCTGCATCATTATCCGCAATACAAACATCTACGCCCTCCGGCACACCATACCGTGTATCTATCTTGCGAAAAAGTTGCCTTGTGCGTGATCGCTATCGTTGCGTAATTTCTCGAAAATTTGATAAGAGCGAGGCTAGAAAACGTTTCGAGCAGTATGGGGAAGATTGCAAGGACGATGAAGGAATAGAATTGAAAAACGAATCAAGTGACCGCTTTCAGTTCCTGGAAGTGGCCCATATTCTACCACATTGTCTTACAACAGTTTCCTCTGGAGATGCAGACCTAGTATGTCTGATCTAAAACATGCTTCATCGCTCCGCTAACATAGTTCCATAGAGCGACTCGAAAAAGAATGTGCTTCGGATTTTAGATATGTTTGACCCTGGTGTCATCCATCTAATTGATGGTCCGAAGATTGACAGCCCCATTAACGCCCTTACTTTAACGCTCGACTATCATCGTATGTTCGGTGAATTTCAGATTTATTTCGAACCCACAGGCGTGCCATATCAGTACAAAATTGATTCAACAGAGCGAAGTCCATTTTTACGTGATCCACTCTTCCCAGTCACGCGGACTTTAACCCTTAGTCCCACTCGTGTAATTGATACGCCCTCACGGCGGCTCCTTGATGTTCATCGTGCTATCGCACTTATAATGAAACTTAGCGGTGCAGGTGAATACATAGAGAATATTCTTCGAGACATAGAGGAGGTTGATGTGAAAGCAGACGGTTCAACGAACTTGGGCCATATAATGAGTTTACGACTTGGTGGATGGCTTAACACATGTGTTTTTTGATTCCATTCGTTTACACTAGGTTGCAAAAATGGCGCAAATGTTTATACTCTTCCTATGTTTGAGAAGCCCTAATCGGGATTAGGCTAAGCTTTTTTACGACTATTCCTCCGGACATCTGTTACCAGCTTCTGTATTAAAACGTAACTATGCACTGGGGTGACTCAGCGCGGCTTCCGTCGCTTGTATCCTCTCATACAAGGACATTTCTTACCACGTGTGTATTTCGTCCCAAATCCACCAAAGTTCCTCCTGCCACTGATTATTCTTCAGTTGGCACCACTTAGCACACTTCGCTATACTCTACCACAATTTTTTGAATATATGACTGATGGCTATAGTTTCTGCCTTCGTAGATCTATGCCGTGTTGCTACTCGAGTTCCCTTCGCTAATTATCTTTGATTTTTCCATTTCGCCAATACCCTTTCCATTTCCTGCAATGATAGCCTTTCGCGCCAGCGCTCTTCTATTTTCGTTATCTCAACTTTGATTTCAATCTCAGCAGAAGAGATAGAATCGAGCATTCTTTCAAGATATTGAACCTCCGCCAGTTTAAGATCAATATTCCATTCCTTCGTCCGTTGTTTCCCAATCGAGTCAGTTATCTCACGCTCTCGTCGTTGTCTCCGCTGGTTGAATTCCACCGTGTTTCCTATCATTAAGGACGAGATGTAAGACCACCATGTCTCCTCTGTAGCTCTTTCCTTCAGGAGGCGTTCTTTTTCTCCTTTGACACTGTCTTTCTCAGCGCGGAGTCTAATAAGGTCTTTCTTTGTGTTGTACAGTAATGTTTTCGATCCCTCGCGTTTAAGAGCAAACTGCCGAAGTCGTTCTTCAAGCTCTGCTATCTTTTGACTCTTGATTTTCCCGGGAAGTATCGCTGAGCGATATAGCTTGTCGTATTCTTGGCGTTTATGAATATCAGACAGCTCCCCGTAAGCTTCGCTAAGCTGTTTCTAGCTGTATCAATAACAAGGCGCGCGAGCCCTAAGAGGCCAGAAGGGTAGGTAGTAGATAGCGATAAATCTTACTAGTTGAAAATCAGCTGTTGCATTAGGTTCGTTCTTCCGTCTATCTGGGTGTCTGGCTAAAGCCAGACGTTTGTATGCTAACTTGACAGTAGCCGGCTGTGCGTCGTGGGATATTCCGAGAATTTCATAATAGTCGTGCCCGACACTTGTGGGTGACATGTGAAAGCTAATTTGACGTGAATCCAGGTAAATAATGATCGAATGCTAACGAACAGGAGCAGTCTGATCCACAAAATAATGGAGCTTGATGGCTGAAGGTTCACTGACTGTGGGGCGGGGGGGAGGTGACGTTTAGGGAAGCGTCATATCTTCGGGCCGTTATTATTCCGTCAAAAGCCAAGGCTGGAAGTGCTCACCCACTCACTCTTTGCCCCACTCTCGCTGAGCTCATCACAGAGCCGTACGGCATAATTTTATACGCCCATACCAGTATAACGAGTATATTACGCGTATCATAGCTGATCCGAAACCTAACCTAAAAAGGCTTAGCACTAGAGCCCAGAAAAAAAGGAAAAGTATGGGTATTTGCGCCGTTTTTACAACCAGCTGTATGCAATTTTTTACTTTCCCGTTGCGCATATCTCTATCCATACTAGGCATCCCGTACAGCTGATTGCAAAACTGGTGCAATTGTTCATACTCTTCAGGTCTCTAAGATACACCTAAAGCCACAGTAGAGGCCACTGTATTGAATGGTAGTTAATTGTGTTTTGAATGACTCGGCGTATTTTACGTGGCCTGTAACTTGTATACAAGCGCATCCTTCTGCCGTGGAGAACATACCCCAGGAGCCCACCAAAGATCCTTTCCGGAAGATCTCGTTGATCATCCTCCACAGCACAAATGGCTCCTGATCTAGCTCCATCGAAACTAGAGTCCATACAAGATATGATTTACTAAGGTAAGCACGCCTAGCGACGCTTGGCTATATCCCTGCCAATTTATCCCTGCTGATTTAAATCATAGCCATGAAGGTTACACGATTTCACATGACGGCTCTTTAGCAAGCCAATTACCCTATGCCACATGGACATTATGGCGGGGTAGTGTCGGCCGTTTGTCAACATGGGGCTGCACAATGGGACCGTTCAGGCGCGTGTGCCCAACATAGCTCGTCAATAGGCCAAATTGGTGTGAGGCATCCAACAGGCACCGTGGTTGCTGTATCTTATGCCATCACATTTATTGTACAGCGAGGGAGGCGACGCTATATATATTCGAATTATTCCTGGTTCTTCTGTCCCTTTTGTTACACTAGTTTCAGGATCCTGAAGTCCTGATATTCTTAAAGCGCCGTATTTCGACCTTTCTCACCCTGCTGCATTTTGAAATCAGACCCCTGCTCCTCTCGGCTACTTATCAGTACGCGCAACTACGATGTTTTTCTACCGGGTAACTGACAAAGACTCCGTTGCTGCATTTGAACCGGGACAAGGTTTTATCGCAGGGAATACTTCTTCCCGAGTAACACTGGATCCCCTTATACAAGACGATGCTATAGAGCTCGTGGAATATATCCAGCGACATCTGAACTGGAAGAACAGATACCCGACACCGTTCATTTCCGCATATCTTGATTTCGACACGGCCAAAACCGAAGCACTGCGCCGGGTGAACGATGGCAAGAAGAGTGTCGTTCTCTGGAAAATCTGCTTGGATGAGGATGACGATCTTGAATGGGCAACAATATACGACCTAAAAAGAGAACTGGGGTTTTGGATTCAAGATAACGCATTCCACAATGCCAAGTACGAAGCCCTGTTTGTGCGTAAAATCCCACGAGACTACGTTGTCAGAGGCGAAAGGTACACGAATCGGCAAGGAAGTAAGTAACTGCTATCTACCCATAAAATTTCAACCATCGTGGCTAATTTGTTTAAACAGAGTGGACCGGCGGAAAGTGGTTCCATATCAACCATCCCTTTCACTGAAAGATGTGACAGTCTATGTACCGTGGTTATGGATTTATTATTCACCATCTTTGCCCTGAAGTGATTCAGACGGGTTTAGGACGGGATTAGAGTTCAAATCGAAAGCGATTATTGTGATGGCCGTAGAAAAGAAGCAAAAGAAAGAGAGGAAAATGGAAGTTGGTGATAAGCCATCCTCTACCCTAGGATTTATTTTTGTAGCATAGCTATGTCGGCCATTGCAAATGAGACTGTTCCTAATGTGGGCTGGGTCAACTGGTGTGGCTCTATCGATAAAGCCATCGAAGATTGCTGAATTATTTTAGGATGCTGCCGAGAAGCCTAATATGAGGGTCCTTGTCCCATTTGTTAGTCCACCCAAGGACATGTCCCGTACCAGGGCAGTAATCCTCACAAGCCGAAAAAATATCACCACCTGTGGATCACCTGTATAAGGCGTTACAAATATTCTTTACAGTAATATCTTTTTTCACCGTTTTATCCATTATTCGTAAAAATATAGCTCTTCTGTGGTCTTTCCAAATACAGTTTAGACTTAAGGGTTTCAGAAAGAAGAAGTGTGTAAACATTTGCGCCGTTTTTGCAATCAGTTGTAAATCAGAATAGAAAAACTTCGACATTAATGGTGGACTGGCTATTGTTCTTAAGACCTGTACTTCTTTCGATTACAATAGAGAAGTCTGGTCAACAAAACACCCAGGGCGTCATGGAAGAAGCCATCGTCCACATTACCCCGCACAAGCTATATATATTAGGACCGACCTGATAGTGGTCTGCAGAGCCCTTCCTACTTTCTCCAACCACCGACAACCCCGACGAACGTATCATCAATATTTGCTCAACACTACTGAGTGTAGGAAAATATGAGTTCAGTGACAGCATACCTTAGCAACGAGGATCGCGGGATCCTTTTGCATCAAATGCAGGTGTCGCAACTCCGCCAGCAAATTCTAGGTGGTCCTATCGAATCTCCGTTGTGTTTTAAAGCCAAGAACTGATCGAATTAAAGCGAATGCAAAAATTATATGGCCAGAAGAAAGGTGCTTCGAAATCATGACCGGAAGGAAAACAGTTGAAGAAAAAGAAGGATATGGTTTGTTATTATTCAACAGCATTTTATGACGATACTGATTGATTTAGCCACCGTTAAAAGAACGATTTGCTACGCATATCTGATTAGTCTGCGAAAAACAGAAAGCCGACCATTTAATCTAATTGCTAAATCAAAACCTGAGAAACGACCGGGGGAACCATTGTTTGACTTATTGGACCTTTTGGAGAGGAGGGCATTCACTATTATGGAATCAGAGAGTACAGAATGATAATAATTACTCTACTGTACTGTACATAGCTATCGGATCGAAGCGATTCGATGTTTGTTTAGTAGCAAACAGATATATCTACCCTAATAGTTAGTATCTTTTGGCTAGCTCTGAGGAGACTCAATGAATGTACACAAAAATGGCGAGATCGCCTCACAAACAATTGTCCCTGCATCATGACTCTTCAACAGTCAGACCGGCGTGCCGGAAGTGCCCTTTCGCACTTTGTTTTCTTGCCCCTACAACGTCAATGCACCATTCAAGGAAGGTGTCAAATCCTTGTTCTGGGCTATCTTCATACACGCTCCAGTGCCGCCGAATGAAGGCTTTCAACTCAGCAAAGAACTCTTCAATTGGATTTAGGTCCGGCGAATATGGCGGCAAATACACTAGTTTAACCCCCGCTTCTAAGCACATTTGGTCGATCCGCTCGGAGTAATGAAAAGATGCATTGTCCATAACTATGACAGACCTCGGTTCTGGCCATTTCCCACATTGAAGAAGCAGCTCCTCAATAAAATCCTCAAAGACTGAAGTATCGGTCGCACCTCGAAAGATACGGGACAGAATGATACCGTCTTGAGAATATGCAGGCAATATTTGATACCGCTGATCACGATGAAATTTAGACACTTGAATAGGAGTTGTACCTAGAGGAGACCAGCCCGTTCGTCGGAAGCCAGCTCGTTTATCGCATCCAGATTCGTCCACGTATACAAGCTGATAGGAATGAAAATCTGAGATTAAATGGAAATACATATCCCGCAGATCTGAATTCCGTTCCTTTGCTTTCTGCCGAGCTGCCTTTTTGGACCAACCTTTAGAAGACAGAGCCCGCCTGATACTAGATGTAGTTGCGTATATTTGGAACTCATCCCATAGAAAGATGGCCATTTCGTCAAGGTATAGATCAGGCTTTTCAAGAAGATGATCACAAAGAGCCTCCAGCATTATTGGTGAGATGCTTCGTGGGCGTCCACCTTTATTTGGAGGGGCTTTGCTACTGCCGAATAGCCGGAGATTTGACCGAATCCTAGGAATTGCGCGTGTGCTGCAGTTAGCAGCTTCAGCTATCTGGGCATTAGTAAGTGATGGATCGCACTTGATCATATCACAAATAATTTGATGTTGCGAAGGCGCCAGGTTGGGTGCCATCATATCCCTGTGGTAAGATTGATCGTCAGGAGATTATCTGCAGGAAACATCATGGTGGGGTAACCAAGGTTGTGTCTGTATAATATATACATGTAAGATACATGAGCTTCGGTGATATAATACAGAAGTACCATACAGTACCGCGTTATGAAAACACATTAATCCGGATCCTTTCCTATAATAGACTAGCGTGCTTGGCATTAGGGTTCGAAAAACAATCGAAGAGTATAAGGGGATGACAGCAGTAACGACTCCAACTGTAGTGTGTCAGGGACGCCGATAAGCCTGGTGAATATAAAGTTCTGGCACATGAAGTCATGTGATTTGGCCCATGAGTCACTCGTATAGAACCGATGGAGAGAGATATTCGGAGAGCTTCTTCAGCCAGCTTTGAATTTCAATACTAAAGTATATTTATTGGTTTTTCCCCAAAAGGTAAGATCATGAATAAAGAAACAGTAAGCGGTTTCTGGCTAATTTCATCCCGCAACTCATACATCCAAGGCGTAGTTAGTCCTTCCCGTTAACTTACGTGATATATTAGGAGAAACCGCCACGTCAGCTTCACAAATCAAAGCGGGGTATTTGGGTAAGGTTTATTGGGGTTCAGGCGGGAAGGCTGAGTGTTCAGGTGAAGGAGGGTGAACAGGGTGAAGGGAAAGCGGCACGGGAACTAAGCCCAACAAATCACAAAAAAAGGGTGAACACCGACATACAACAGAAGGGATTCGCTGGTGGTCACCCACCCAACTACTAACCTCCCGGCGTGTGGCTTGAGTACGGCTGAGCGGACGGGAAGCCCTATTTTCCACACCCTGTGGTCGTATGTGCTTATACATTCCTAGACCTGATTGATATAGTCAGTTGGACGCACTATTTACTGCTTGAATGCGTTAATGAATTCGGAGCCAGCGAAGTAGTTGAGTGGGTACGGAAAGACAAAAATAGTCACAGTCATCAACCTCACATCCCAACGTATCTAAATGACTTCTGCGGACGCCCTTCAATGAAGTGTTGAGAGCTTCGTATTACCAGTCATATGAACACGTAAGGTCTGCGCTACTACTAGTTAGTAGATGTAGACGAAGCAGAGCTACTAGTGACGGCGCTTGTAATCATCATCCGGGACCATGATCACCGGTGGAAAACCGAAATGGCACAACTTCAAATATACAACACCATGTGGGATTCATGAGACCAAGATCAGCAAATAGGCGTCTTGCTCTCTTTGCTGAGCGAAATTACCAACGGAAAAAAGGAGCAGAATGAGCCGCCATCAGATAAAGGTGAATTATGAGTACGCCACTGTACAAAATGCTAAACGCGCAACCAACGCCAATCCCAGAACACAAATCCTAACAATCCAATGCCCATGATACTCTATACGACTTTATCCCGCCCGTTCTGTTTCTGCTTTTTCTTCTCCTTCGCCTCCGCATCTGCCTGCTTCCACGAGCCCGCGTAGTGATGCGTAACCAGCGCATCTCCTTGATCCTGGGGATATCCATTCTGGGATGCCGCAAACGCCACACCAGGCATGATAAGGACATCACCGATGAGCTTGGGCTTCTTGATTCCATGGAAGTCGCGATCATCAACCGTCCGACCTAGGAGCTGCTTCAGGCTGTCCAAGATTGCCATTGTCATGATCTTGGGCCCCGTCACATTGACAACATCAATAGGCAGCATTTCTAACGTCAGGTCTTTTACCTGCACGTTATTCATCGCGGCGATCTCTTTCAGTTTGTCCACTACGGCGTCTACCACCACCTGAAGAACTCGTGATGAGCGGGGTGCCGCAAAGACCCAGTTGCAGAACTGCGATGCGATCTCCGTTCCTTCTCCGCGCCATTCAAAATCAAACTCCAGTCCCACGATCATCTCGATCTTTGCATTCTTGTATTCCGTGGGGACCCAGTCGGCCACGGGCTTATCGCAGGTGACGTCGAGATCACTCCAGACGCCCCCCTCCGCAAGCACGAGCAGGTATCGCAGAAGATCCGCCCGCAGGATCGGGATCGGGAGGGTTTCGAACACCTCGATAATGTCGGGTCGCGAGGCATAATGAGTACGGACAAACGTGGCAGCGGAGGTATCAGTCAGGAGCTCATATCGGAAAGAGGGGTTCTTCTCAAGCCAGCTGCTGATCCATTCGTCTTGGTCATCGCTCAGGTGGGGATCCTTGGCGGATTGCCAAAGCTTGTCAGTTATACCGAAGATAGCATCACCACCAGCAATGTCAGCAGTCGGTTTTGAGCTGGATGGTTTGCTGGTAGATACAGGAGTTTTGGGTTGCGATGGTTCTTCCTTTGGTGGCTCAACTGCTTGTGGTACCTGGGATAGCGGATCGGACTGTGACGTCGATTGCTGACGAGCGAGTCGGCCGGGCAGTGGGTCCCACGTCAGGAAGAGCAGGCAGCTGAACACGAGCAGCGGGATCGTCAAGATAACAAAGCGCCCATAGCGCGATGACTTTAAGGTAGAAGGGAGCATCGAAGGTGTGCAAGATGAAGAGCTTTCATGGGGGTATTGTAGGTGAAAGGAGATGAGAAATATTCTCGGCGCTCCAGGCCCAGCGGAGAGCGTCCACCTGTTTAAGAACAAGGTGGGATTACTATTATTGCCACGGTTCGAGGATCCCTCCATCATGGATTAGCGCAGGCGCTAACAGTCAGGGAAATTGAGTGATTGAGTTTGTGCTTCCACCAGGGTCGCCAACGGTTCGTCTTGATTGGAGGGCGAAAAGATCCTTAGGCTTGCTTAGTGCCGGGTGTCACCGGAGAAGGGAGTCGCGAGGCTTAATTTACTTGAAAGGCACCGGCCCACCGCTAGTTGAACTAGTCAAAATCCTGAGAGGCCTGTAGTCTCACCGGATGGTTATAATGCCATACCCGTGAGTCGCTCGAGCATTAAAGTGTGGCTGTATCATGGCCACGCGAGGTTTCTCTGCGCTAAGGCCCCCATCAGTCGGGGTAGGAACACTACCAGTGCCTTTTAGCGACGTTGGGCAAGGAACGGCTACATAAGGGCAATCTCCGCACTGGAAAATGAATAACCCGTTGAATCTGATAGCCTTCGTTTGGCCCAAGCACATCCTCCATACGAGAGGCGAGGATATTCAAGGATCCAATTGAGTTGTCGGGTCTTTAAAATGATGGGGCGACTCTTGATACCCAAAGTTCCTGCGGCATGGCAGGTACTCTCCTGGGTGATACTACTCTCGCTGCCGGGGAGCCTTGGTCAGACAACAACGTCGTTGAATACTTCTATTCAAGACAGCCCACATTTTATGGGATGGTATCTTGGAACGACCAGTCAGTACTCGTTCGCTATTTCAGTGCTATTTTGATTGACCTGAACATTGTCGCTTACCCCGATGCTTGACTGCAGCCCAAGCCCTAACTGATGCGGGCACATGGTCGACCTCCGGACAATATGCAGCCGGCTGCACTGCTTCTGTCACCTGTTCCTGGGCCACCGCATGTAGTGGGAACATACTTTACTACAATGTCGACAATAAAACCTTGGACTGGTATGTTTGAAACTATCAAATGTATGCGTTAAGATGGGCTGTCGCTGATATACAACCCGACTTTGTGTTTGACTAGTGGTTCCGAGTCCATGTCATGCCAAACCATGACCATCTATCAATCCGAGCCCTACGCCACCCCATCCGCATATAACCTCTTCTGCGCTGACTTTTGGTCTGCCTACACAATCTATCGAGAGCTGCCCGCTACGACAACCTCAACCACATCAGCAACCTCAGGTAAACCTGAATCTCATCTGTCCCAGAGACACCAAATGTCACTGATGGTCTTGCCTATAGATTCAACAACCAGTGCAACAACCGCCCCAATCACCTCTATGGCTACAAAAACCGCTTCTGGGACCCAAACATCGACCGCTTCACCGTCTTCAACATCCACCTCTTCTTCCGGGAAGAGCCAGGCGTGGATTGCGGGTCCCGTAATCGGCGCGGTAGCAGGCGTTCTTGTTATTGCAGCCGTGGTGATCTTCTTCCTACGCCGTCGAATAACCCGACACCCTCAGGCCATGGAGTACCAAAGTGTCTCCCCGAGCGCGCGGACAGTTTCCGAGCTGCCTACGGAAAGCCTTACGGGAATGGTGCACGAAATGCCCTCTTCATCCGCATCCCGGGTGGGGCCATACGAGCTGAGTTGAAACCGGGATAATAACAAGGATTACTATAGCAATAATAGGAATTGTAATGATAATAATGAGACCCCGTGCATGGGATTAATGCCATTTGTGTGATGCTTTTTCTCGGATCCTGGTCGACGCCACCTAACAAATCTGAGACCTACCCCATCCTCTTATTATTGAGATGGACAGCTTCAGCCCCAAACTGCACATTGTGCTTATATATCCGTGGCTCTACATCAGCCATGATTACTACTTGTCTCGTTGGAATGGCATGTAGTATGCTTTGATCACTTCTCGGCCTACTCCTACCCTATTGCTGAAGAATCAAGCCATCGTGATCTAGCAAGATGCTTATATCCGTATAACCTTACTCTATGAAACTTAGAGCAGTCATATATTCAGGACCTTGGGGATTGTTGAGCAATCCGGATGTATCGTTGATTTGTAGTCATGCAAGTACGTGAACGCCCGTTAACAACGGCGAAATAAGCTCTGTAATTAGTAGAACTCTTAGTGTGATTGGGTGGCTAAGAGATCTTCCCAGCAATCTACTAATTGGATTGTTTCTGCGTCGAAAAAGGAGGGCGAACAACCATCGCCCTTCGACCGAACAAGGGTATCGATGCAAGTTCTGACCAGGGGGTGTTCAGCTCAGCAAATGGGCACTCACAACGGTGAAAATGACACAATATATAAGGGGCGTCTACAGAGAGCGTAAAATTAACACGAGGTCCACGTTACACGCTAAATGTTGTGTCGCCCAGGCAAAATTTTGGGGCGAGTCATGGATAGTCCGCGCTAGTGCTTACGCTTCAAATCCCTCCGAGCTCCAGCCCTGGGTGCTGATAACGTCGAGGGAACGTCCATCTCTAGGTTCCACGCATGCTTAGCCATGCTCTCTGAGAATCTAATATTGTGCTTGCCAGATATGGATTGTATTTATTTAACTGTAGACAGCTAACTCGTGGGTGTTGTGTTTCCATCTATTGTTCATTGATTGTGGGACCAACGCCCTGTGCGTCAAGCTGTACTGTAATCGGAATGGTTCTTTCAAGGAGGCTATTATGGCGCCTGCGCTAGATTTATAATGAACAGCGATCGACAGTGTAGCAACCCTTATTTGTACAGTAGGTCAATTGGCTAAATTAGAGAAGATAAGACATTCCCTGCTCTCTTTATTTAACCCCACGCAAACATGGCAGTTTGCTCCTGAATATATATTCCATGCTCATTCGGAAGTCGCTCGGAAATAAAATCATATTTTTCCGGAGGACTAAAACTCCGATGTCATTCCTCGCACATGGCCACAATCTCCACCTCTGAATCTAAGCCGCCACTTTGATAGGTCTTATAACCTAATTATGCTGGGAGTCCCTGCGATTTACCATCCTCATGTGGCATGAGCTAACGTTCGTCGCGGAAACAAAATAAAAATAAATAAATAAAGAAATAAAACAAGAAAAACAAGAAAAACAAGAAAAACAAGAAAAACAAGAAAAACAAGAAAAACAAGAAAAACAAGAAAAACAAGAAAAACAAGAAAAACAAGAAAAACAAGAAAAACAAGAAAAACAAGAAAAACAAGAAAAACAAGAAAAACAAGAAAAAGAAAAAGAAAAAGAAATGGGAGTTGTATTAGGTGGGAGGGGACATGTAACTATAAGCTTTATTGTATTCTACTTACCTACCATGAAATATATATATTAGAGCCGATGCAACTTGAACTCAATAACCGCAACTGATCACCTCTGTACGGCTTTAATAGTATGTTGAGATAATATATATTTTAGCCAAATCGATCTAGTTTCGTCGTCCACATTAAAGTTTTGTTAAAAAATATATAACTTTTGGGGGGGGGGGGGGGGGAAAGCCCTCAGTTAATACAGAAGACTTTATTGTTTTCAGAGATATCTTGATATCATAGAGTTCTTAACTGTATCCTTTCGTGTGACAGATTTCTTCGTCGACTGATATTAAAGACGCAATATATAATTTTTGGACTAGCAGCCAGCGCGTTAACATCCTTGAACTCCCTTGAAGGAAGTCCGAACAGAATTAATCATACTGAGTTCAAGGAGGATTCGGGCTAATTCAACCTCTACAGTATTGACATATGACAATCATAATACGACAATTTTCGAGGGGCGTTGGTATGTAAATCTACTCATTACCCCTCCCTGGTCCTCTGAATCAATTCCCGAATCGTGTCTCCCAACTCATCGATGACTGGCCCTCCACGAGGAATAGTATGTCCCTTTCCAGTATCAAAGAAGTAAGCGGCATCAGGGTCGCAGATATTGTATAGGCAGTCTGCGCCAAACCTGTATGGGTCTATCCATGCAAACCCGAACTATTAGCGAGCAGTCGATAAGTTTCATCTATGACAGGACCAACCCACCATTAGCACCAACGACATGGACAGTCGGAAGATCTATCATGTCTTCTCGCTCATCGGCGAATATAAACCCTCGTTCTGAATTTACTGGGGGAATACCGGCCAAGAAAACAGCGCATTTAATCCGCCGCGTACGGCCTGTCTCCTGCTCCCTCTGCTGTTCGCGCAAGAGATATGCTGCCCCGATACTTGCCCCTTCACTGTATCCCACGAGGCCCTCGATATCAGGATTCTTTTCTAATGTCTCATCGATGTATTTCATCAGGTCATAGTAGTTTGTCCAAGTAATGTCATTGGATATCACTGATCGAAGCGCCTCTTCTGGAGTAGTATGGGAGGTGTTTCGCGCCCCGCGGACGGTTGTGAAGAGGGCGCCTTCGGTAACTCCGGGGTAGTCAAGCCAGCGGTAATGGGGCGGAGGACCAAAGTATTCTATCTGTCCTGGGCGCTGTTAAACACACTTCAATTAATTAACGATTGTTTGGTGGAAGTTATATCACACCTGGAGGGGCTATCGCAGCATGTGGCGCATTCACGCAATAAAATGAAGCGGTATTGTCGGCCGCCAGGTTCTTTTGCAACGGCCCTAATCGCATACAAATTAGCGATTAATAGCTTCTCCGATACCACTCAAGTGATACCTAGCTGGGCACTGAGAGTCTGCGACATAATCTTAGTTTGACGTAAGTCTCTCTCAGAGAGAATACATTAACTTACATCAGCACTAGTTATAGAGCCATGAAGGCATAAAAACCGCATTTTTCTTGTGGACGGGAAAGAGTGGATGGGGTCTGTCAATGAAAGGGCAGACCGTGCAATTATTATTCTACATCCCCCATCATACGCATGTAATACTTTCTAGTGCTGCATGTCTTGAATCCATTTATACACGAGCTAAAGTACACGTTTCTCTCCAGCCGACCGCGCCCATCATAGTGGCCATATACATGCAAGGGGCAGACACTCAAATAAGAGCACGGATTCCCAGCCCCTTACTTTATCCCTTGGGTTACTCGGCTCTACTGATCAACTCTCGCATTGACTGCGCTAATTCACTGACCACCAAACCCGACCGTGGAAGAGTATGGCCTTTCCCCATATCGAAAAATTCGGCTGCGTCAAGATCACAGGTCTCATAGAGTGCTTCCGAGCCATACCGAAAAGGGTCTGGATGAGCATTTAAGTTAGCTGATCTTAATTCAAAAGCTGAAATAAACAAGAAGAAGAATGATCACTACCATTTGCCCCTAGGACATGAAGCGTGGGAATGTCGATCATTTCGTCGCCACCGTCATCTGCAAGGATGAACTCCTTCGTGTCTCGCCTCATGGCCGGCCAGCCCCCGACGAACATGGCACACTTTATCTGGCGCTCCCGGCCATCGTCGCGTTGCCGGCGTTGTTCATCAAGGATATATGTGGCAGCCGCCGCAGCTCCTTCGCTGTAGGCGATCATCCCGCCAATCTCTGGGTTCTTGTTCAGTACTTCCTCGATATAAGCCATCAGCTCCGCGTAGTTATGACAGCGGATGTCCCCCAAGACCTCTCTCATAGCATCGTCATTGCTCTCGCTGGTTGGCAGGTCGCGGACGCGGTCGATCGAGGACCTTCCGGACTTTTGACCGTCGTCAATCCACCGGTAATGTGGTCCGACGCCGAAATACGCCTCAAATCCTGGGGGCGGACGAACTAGGAGAGGGCCATTGAGATAGTGAAAGGTCGTTTCTGAATCCTCGGTATTCAGCTCTTTCAACAGTGGCGCTGTATGTCACCCCCCGTTAATAACAACACAACAAGATGTGTCAACTAGATGTAGATAAAAGGCAGTACCCAGCTGAATAGTGATATTCTGCGCTTGTTAGCATTATATTAAATCGTTTGCCATCGTGCACACTCACGTCGGTGTTGCCAATGGCACCGTGAAGACAGAGGAACTGCATGTCAGAATAGGTGGGTAAGAGGCAACAATGAGAGAGGGGACGAAGAAGGCCAAGGGAACAATCCCAGAGAGCCAGTAAACTTATTTATTTACTCGCTGGGGAATGTGGAGGAGCTGCGCTGACAACTTAACAGGAAAGCCATCAGCAGCTAGGGAGATGTATGCAAGCTGACTACATACTGCTTTAGGGCCATGCGAACTGCAGGCCGTCTTATTGTGAAACAATCAGTTGATGAATCTCTGAATGTATATATACACAGAAGCAAGAAACAGGCTACTTAACCAATCAAGTTCATTCAAAGTCCGTGTAACAACATGGAATGCCAAAAAGAACCATGCAGAGGTCATTCGCTGCGTGCCGTTGGCTTCAAGTTCGAATTCCTGGATGGTGTCATGTTACCACCGCTGTCTACGCCACCGTCCATGGCCCTTGAGTAGGCCTAGGGGCCTGCGTGTTCCTCACAGCCGCCAGAAACTTTATGCAATGCTTTCACTGATCAGCTGTGATTGAGGGCCGTGCCTCGCAGTGTTCCTGTCAGCATGGCACGGCCTCCATCCTCTCCCTAGTATTACATCCCTTGCATATTTGCTTGTTTCGCGCCCCCCCTCTCTGCTTTTTGCATCAACTCCTTCACAATCTGCCAGTAGCCCAATCCCTCTGTCACTTTTCACTCGTTACAACCATCATGTCCCCAACGAGTGACACGACAGCAGACATGAATAGGTCACAGTCTGCGGTCGAATCACCGGCGCTGGAGCCCATTGCGATCATTGGGTACTCATGTCGACTTCCCGGCCAAGTCTCCTCCCCCAGTGATTTATGGGAGCTCTGCACAAGAGGGCGAAGCGGCTGGACGCCCATCCCCAAGGACCGCTGGTCCGCAGAGGCTTTCTATCATCCGAATGCTTCAAAATCGGGCACCAGTAACCAGGCTGGTGGCTATTTCCTGGATGATGTTTCGCGATTTGATGCTCCATTTTTCAACGTTAGTGCCCAGGAGGCCATCTCTATGGATCCACAGCAGCGCTTCCTGCTAGAATGTGCCTATGAAGCCATGGAGAGCGCCGGAATTTCTCGGGAATACATGACCGGGCGTCGCATCGGTGTCTTCATTGGGGCAAATTTTGCCGACTACGAGATCAACAACATCCGCGATACAGAGACGACTCCCATGTTCCAGGGGACGGGAGGATACCCTGCGCTCCAGTCCAACCGAATATCCTATATGTTCGACCTGAAGGGGCCTAGTTTGACTGTTGATACTGCTTGTTCGTCTTCTCTCGTGGCATTGCACTCTGCTGTGCAGAGTCTGCGGAGCGGAGAATCTACCGAAGCGCTTGTCGGTGGTTGCCATTTACTTCTGACCCCCGACAACTCCATTACGATGTCGATGCAGCAGTGAGTAACTATTTCTTAATATTCGATGATAGATCGTGATGTCCCGGCATTTATTGACCGCGAAATCTGAACAGATTGCTCAACGATGAAGGGAAAACATTCGCTTTCGAAGAGAGAGGGAATTCTGGCTTCGCGCGGGGTGAAGGCGCAGGCATGATTATGCTTAAAAGCCTTTCTGCAGCGCTGCGCGATCGTGATCCCATCCGGGCTGTTATTGCCCACTCAGGTGTCAACCAAGACGGCAAGACTAGGGGCATTACTTGTCCCAATGGCGTAGCTCAAGAAGAATTGATTCGACGGGTGTACGAGGAAGCAAACCTGAACCCGGCAGACTGTGGCTTTGTTGAAGCTCACGGCACAGGTTGTAGACACCCGAGATCATCCTTCACTAGGATCCTAGGCTGACATTTATATCTTGTAGGAACCGCAGTCGGGGACCCAATTGAAGCGACGGCAATTCAGGCAGTATTTGGACAGGGGCGCACGGCGAGAAATCCGCTCTATATTGGATCGGTCAAGACCAACGTTGGACATCTAGAAGGTGTCAGTGGCATTATATCAGTCATCAAGTCCGCCATGATGCTCGAGAGAGAACTCGTTCTTCCAAATGCCGGCTACAAAAAGCCCAACCCTAAGATCCCATTCGCAGAGTGGCATATGAAGGTTGCCAACGGGACACGCCCTTGGCCCCGTGGCAAAAAGTACATCAGTGTTTCCAATTATGGCTTTGGTGGCACCAACGCACACGTCGTTTTGCGGAAGGCCCCTTCGCAGGTATCACAGGAAGAGGAGACCGGTATGAAGGATAAGGAGAGTAAGCGCCGTTTGCTGTTAATCTCCGCACACGACCGAGAAGCCCTTCGCACCAGGTGCAAGGATTATTGCATCTACTTCGAGCAACGTCCCGAGGTCTTCGAAAACGCCTTGTTCAGTAACTTCGCTTACACCGTTGGAAGCAAACGGTCGCACCTGCCATTCCGAATTGCACTGTCCGCCACATCGCTCGACGATGCCGGTGTCCAACTGGCGCAGATGAAGATCAACCCACCCCGCGCTATCGGAGGCGACGGACCTTCTGTTTCATTTGTTTTCACTGGGCAGGGAGCCCAGTGGGCTCAGATGGGTATGCCCCTTATGGATGAATACCCCGTTTTTGCAGCCGCGGTCCACCGCGCCGACAAATACCTGTTGGAGGAATTGGGTGCAGACTTCTCACTTTGCGCAGAGTTGCAGCAAGATGCTGAAAGATCAAGAATCAATGCCCCCTACATTAGTCAACCAGCCTGCTCTGCGCTACAGATTGCCCTTGTAGACTTGCTTCGCTCCTGGGGTATCCAGCCAGCCTCAGTAGTTGGCCATAGTTCTGGTGAAATCGCTGCAGCATATGCAGCTGGAATATTCGACCTGGAGGGTGCCATGACACTTGCGTACCGCCGTGGCCAGATGACTGAGTTGTTGAGAAGCACTTACCCGGATCTCAAGGGTACCATGATGGCCGTCGGGACCAGCGTCGAGGCCATCCAACCAATGATGAAAACCATCTCCTCTGGATACGTCACCGTGGCCTGCATCAACAGTCCCTCCAGTGTCACCATTTCTGGTGATGTCCCGGCCATTGAGGAGCTACAGGGGATTCTTGAAGAGAGGAAGATCTTCAACCGTCGCCTGATGATCGATGTGGCTTACCACTCCAACCACATGACGAAGGTCAGTGAGGCATATTTGTCCTCCATTGCATCAGTACAGCCCTCGACAACTGTCACTACTACATTTTTCTCTTCCGTAGTCGGTGACATATGCAAGCCTACAGATCTTGGCCCTGGCTATTGGGTCCAGAACTTGACATCGCCGGTGCGATTTGCTCATGCTCTCGAAAAAATGTGCTGTGCGGGAAACAGACCCAATATTATGGTGGAGGTTGGACCTCATTCTGCTCTCAAGGGCCCAATACTCGATACCCTCAAAGCCCTGGGCACATCGGTTGCCTCTGAAATTGGATATGCCCCAACGGTAGTCCGGAAGGTCGACCCTTCCCAATCAATCCTCGACGCTGCGGGCGCCGTTTACGTGCGTGGTGGGTCTCTCAACATTAATGAGATCAACTTCCCCTGCAGTGGCACTGGGGCTTGCAATGTCCTCGATGATCTACCGAGGTACCCGTGGCAACATGATACAGTATTCTGGCACCGATCTCGTATCAGCGAGAAGCAGCGATTCCGCGATGGACAGAGGAACGACATTTTGGGCACCGAAGCATTCTACTCCAATGACCTGGAGCCGACATGGAGGAATATTGTTCGCCTCGACGATATCCCTTGGCTCCGCGACCATAAGATGCAGGACATGATTGTGTATCCAATTGCTGGTTACATCAGTATGGCGATTGAGGCCGCTCGGACACGAGCAGAGAAGTCCGGTACGGTGGCCGCCGAGCTGCAGTTTGAACTACGCGAAGTGAGCGTGGGCACTGCCCTGGTCCTCACTGACGACCTCGATACCGAGATTACCATTACCCTTCGGTCTCATGTTGAAGGCACGCGTGGCACCTCCAATGCCTGGGATGAATTCCGCATTTGCTCTTGGAATTCCAAGCGGAATTGGATTGATCATTGCACGGGTCTTGTAAGAGCTCGCCCCAACAGAAAGAACCGAAAGCAGAATCCGGTCGCAAACTGTGTGGAGGTAGAGGAGGAGATCTTTCGTAGGAAGACCAGTGAGGTGATGGGCGCGGCGACATACGAGATTGATGTCGAGAATATGTACAGGGTCCTCACCGATGTCGGCGCCGGCTATGGCGTAACCTTTCAGGGAGTTGAGAACTGCCTCTCTGGGCCTCATCACTCGCGGGCAAACCTGAATCCTCGCGATACTCAGTCATTCATGCCAAAGAACTACGAAGCTCCCGTTGTCATCCACCCCACGCTTTTAGATGCTCTCCTGCATCTGACCTGGCCAATTCTCGGTAAGGGTCGGATGGAGCTGGACACTCTGCACGTCCCTACCCTTATCGAGGATCTTGTCATCGATGGAAACATTGCTTCGATCGGTCCCAAATTTCCGGCCTGGTGTATGCGAACTTCTGGCAGGGGCACGCCGGAGCCCACCAAGTTCGACTTGTGGATTACTCCTGCCGACTCTAGTGAGGTGTTGATCAACATGGAGGGGTTGGTAATGACCGCAATCGACGATGCTGGATGCGATAATAAGGTGGCCCACGACCTATGCTATCAGCTACAATGGAAGCCCTGGGCTGAGGTCGAAGCAGAGACGGTTGAAGAGGTGACTGAGGCGAAGGGATCCAATGGCCATACGAATTCCCACGTCATTGAACATACCAACGGACACCGGCATGGAATTTATTGTCACCATCACAAATCCCAAGACGAACTCTTAGTTGTCAGATTTGGCGAGTGTGTACTTGCAGCTGAGAAAGTACAGGAGGTCATCTCTACCGAAGCCATCCGATGGTCGACCTCGATTTCGTCGCTGAGTGAGGTCGACACGAAGCAGAAGCGCCAGCATGTTATCATCCTGCAGATCGGAACCAAGACTCTGCGTGACCTTGATGAGGCAGAGTTTACAAAAATACAGAATCTCCTTCT